GGTGTGGCATACCATTTGACGTCCAATCCTCGATCGAGCATTGCAGGCACACTTCAATCGTTTGGATGTATTGATCAGGAAGTGGATACTGACGGGAAACATCAGGAATCTCGTCGATGAGCTGCAATGCCTCAAACCATCGCTGAAGGAGGGTCCACCCACACAAGCGGGGCGTGTAGTTGGTGAGTTCGGTTCTCACCTCAATCCGATGAGGAGCAATGTCAAGCAGCCTTGCCATGATGAAGGTGGCACGAGTGACATAGTCCTGTGGAACTTGCAGCATGATGACAGTGGCCCTGTCACCCTGACGACGGACTTCACAAGCCGCCCAGTGATCCCGAAGAAGGACGGGGATGACCGTGATGGAGTTGTTTAAAATGTGCACCTCTGTTCCATCATCTTCAAAGTTGGGCTTTGTGGAATCCCAGCAAAATGATGCGTCCTCTGGCTCCACTGAATGGTTTGAGTGATGGCCAACATTTCATCAGTGGCAAGCCATCCATTTGTATTGCACAAAAATTCGGCTCTCTGGTTGAAATCTGCTCCTTGTGCAAGCCGTGGTGGCGGGCCATTGGCTTCATGGTGCCCCCCTGCATGGATATGGCTTGTTTCCGTAAGGGGGAGAATGCGGTCAGCAGGCCAGTCCTCAATCTGAGGGGTTCCACAGATTGCAAGATCAGACCCATCTCTCGTGAAATTGATGTTCCGGAGGCATGAAATGTCAACTTGGACAAGATGGAACTCCCCCGTCTCACGGATATGGACAACTCGGCCATGTGTCACTTCCAAGGGAATCACAAGGTGGGTGCAGTGGTTACCACCTGTGTGATCACCGCTCGATGTGAAGGTCATGCCACCAATCTGTGACTGGATCACGTTTGCCATGATTTGAATGTTGTCGATCGAATCCCAACACTGAAAGTGAAATCCAATGTCATACTGAACAATCACCAGAGTTGCGGAGGGCACACCACTGTTGCTCGAAAGACCTTTGCAGAGGTCGGAAAGATTCAAAACCACCTGATCTGCGAAATGATGTCAAAGTCGAGCCTTGGGTTGATGTGGATTGTTTGCTGAGGCGCAAAGGGCAAAGTCGGTGAAATTTCGATGATCTCAGTCGGACAGATGCGAGAGAACTGGCATTGACCAAGACAAACGGAGGCCAAGACAATGTGCCAATCATGTGCTTGCTCAACCAGAAGGCCAATCGGCATGGTCATGCTAAATTTGGCATCATCGGCTCGAAAGTAAATCTGCTTAACAAGTTCATTCGGTCCACGAAAGTGCTGCAGCAGAAAATCAATGGCGGAGGTCTCGGCGCTGACATGCAAACAGAAGTCACAGGACAGAAAAGTGCCCTCGCAACAAAACCCTTGGCTCAAAGGGACACTGGAGCGTTGGTCAACTGAAATCCACTCATGAACCTCTGATGCTCTACTCAAGTGAACGAAACCTTGGTGCTCAAAAAGGACCGAATTATGAGCCTGGCACCTTGACCCAACTCTTTCGGACCAAGTGCAATGGGTCCACCGACAGTTGGCCAACAGCATGCCACACCTAACGAAAGGACAGCCTGAGGGACGGAAATCGCGTTGCCAACAATACGAAAGGCTTCGGAGACCTTGGTGGGCAAGACGACATGGGACTGCGTGCCAAACAAGGAGCAAAAATGTCCTGGGTCGAAAAACTCGAATCCATTGGCCGTTCGTCGAAGAAAGGTAAACAGTCCCCTAGTCTGAACATGTCGTGGCGCCAACAAGTGCTGAGCCGAGTAAGATGCGCATAAGGTCGGAAGCGGTTGATCCGTCGGTGGCGCCCTCTCCCAAAGAACCTGGTCATTGGTTGTTGGGTCATCGCTCTTCGGGGCTCTTCCAGTTCTTGGCAGGATCATTGTAAATCGCGCACTCCGAGTCTGTCAGGCACAGCTGGGGCCGCCAAACCTGACAGACACCAAATTGTGGTTGGAGGGATCATCCCACGGGCATCTAGGAGAGTGCCGAAGTGTAAAAGTAAATCCAACGAACAGTGCTTCGATGTCAGATCGGCACCATGCGGAAAGCCAGCGTGTTCTGAAGTGGTGTGCCATATGGTGCAAGGAGGTTACCTGCGTCCAAACTTTCTTATGTCCTAGAGATCGAAAAAGCAAGCCCACAAATCGGAAGTGGTCATGTTCAACGATTTCGTCTGCGCATTCTGCGGCAATGCAGATGGGTTGAAGCACACAAGCCAGTTGAATGGCGTCTACGAATGCCCAGCCGTTTAAATCGCCGAGGCCAAGGTGTTTTCCACCTTTGGACCACGACTGGCAAGGCGGAGACATGGTAAAACATAAATTCGACTGCGCTCGAATCATGTTCGCCAGAGACCAGTCGGCCACTGAGCCATGCACCCCCACATGCTTCTGAGATGGCCAAGGCTCTGACCAATAGTGGCTTGCTCGTATGCTTCACGCTCCAGAGCTGCGTGACTTGTTCGTTGATGTCAAGCTCAAATTCCTGGCCTAAGCAAAACGCAGCCTCAGTACGGTCCAAAAAATCAGCAGCTTGGGCCCATCCCGAATAGGCACCAGCGAAGCTATGGAACATGTTCCAAGGCATCAACTTGTCAAACTCTGGTCGGAAAGTGACGACATCATCCTCATGCTCAATGTAGTCTTGCTGGTTGCAGGAAGGAGTACCTGCGCAAAGGATATGCGCCCCAGTTGACAGGCTGATGGAGCGATCAGCCAGGTGAGGAACCTTCACTGTCATCTTGGATTCCAAGGGTCTTCCACTATCAAAGCCGACGGACGGCCGGAAGGGAAAAACCCCCAGTGTCACAAAGTCACCCACAACGAGCTCCACTTCTCCAGCAGTCAGAATACGGGAGCCAAGCATCAGCGTTGGTCCAGAATCAGCAAGGCCGGAAAAGAGGGACACAAGGTCAGCTTTGAGCGGATCATCCAAGATGCTACCAGCCAGTGACAAAGCATCCTCAACCGCCATGGCAAAGGTACTCGGCACGGATCACGAGAGCAAAAGGTCACGAAACCAAGGGTGGGAAGCTTTTGGGCGATCCCTCAAAGGCAATTTGCGTTCCGACTGTACTGTATCCCGACTGTGTGGTCACAAGGTTCCTGTTGGAGTGTTTTTCGGGCTAACGCATTCCGCAGACATGCGCGCCACGCCGTTGTCTGTCGGTTCGATTTCGACTTGAGCCTTTGGCCTCTTCTCCTTTTGAAGACCTCCAGGATCTGGTGGTTCTTACTTGCGCTCTTAGGAAATGGTAACCTAGGCCGGCGTGTGGCAAACCGCTTTCAAGTCAGTATGCATTTCTTTATAAGTGTGTCTCTCCTCGTGAGAGCCGGGGTGCCCCGAGGAGTGGCCCCGTCGAACGGGGGTTTGTCGTTGTTCCCCCGGCCTGGGAACGTAGGTGTCCGAAGCGGACAGCAGGAGGCTTACGCCAAAGTTATTTGCCAAGACTTGCTGAACTATTGAATTCCAAGCTGGCTCATGCCTTTACGTGGCCACAGCGGTCAAAGCTGCCAGCCATTTTGGCACGGCGTACGTGGCCGCAGCGGCCGAAGCAATTTAGGGTTGGTTGGGACTCGTCGCTGCCTTGATGCACGCGCAGCGCGTACTTTTTTAACGAGGTTTGCCTAGGTGCATGTGTCAAATGAGGTTTGGCTTCATCGGTTCTCGCCCCCTCCGTTTGGTTCCCCTTTTTCATCCTTTCCCCTTCGCACACTTCTGTTTTCCTCTTTTCTTTAATGTCTTCCAGTCTTCATGTTCTGTCATTTCATCGCTTTCCTTCTTTTGCGCACACACGGCCCGGCCCTTAGTTTGTACGCGTGCAACCTATTTTAAACTACTCTTTAGGTCGCCCACGTTTTTACAATGAGGTGGGATCTCATCGGTTGTCCCTGTGCACTTGGCTCCCTTTCATTGCAACCGCGCACACCTTTGTCCCGTCTTCTCCTCTTCGTGTCTTCATTCTTTTGTCTTACTGCGCGCACACTTACACCTTTGCCCTGACCTTAGTGCTTCTCGCCTCCCCTCGGGGGGGCGTGTGTGTGTGTGTGTGTGTAACCTTTGGAGTTGGAATGTTTGTATAAGCAGGGGGCAGTAGCCCACTCATGAGTCTACTGCCAACGAAGCTGCTCATGAGTTGGGAGGATATCGGAGCGGATCACTCCGACGTACCTGCTATGTTTGTGGTGTTCTTAAGCTGTGACTCTCATTTTCTTTAAAGGGCTTACGCATTCCGCAGACATGCGCGCCACGCCGTCATCTGTCGGTTCGATTTCGACTTGAGACTTGAGCCTTTGGCCCCTTCTCCTTTTGAAGACTTCCAGGATCTGGTGGTTCTTACTTGCGCTCTTAGGAAATGGTAACCTAGGCCGGCGTGTGGCAAACCGCTTTCAAGTCAGTACGCATTTCTATAAGTGTGAGTGTGTGTGTGCGGGTGGGTGGGTGGGTGGGTGGGTGGGTGTAACAATGTCACCACTGGTCTGCCTTTCTGGACAGTCGGTATTTAAGTTTGGCAGACAAGACTTGATTTTTATTGGGTTAATGGTTAGCCATCAATATTTTTTCCTATTTTCTGTCTATTCCGGGTCAACAAACATACAGGGGTTGCAGAATATCTTCGACATTCCAATGTTTGCAGACGCACTTGAAGCTTCCCCCCAAGGCTGTGATCTTTCTGAACGCAATCTGGATGTCAGTGGACACCGACAACAACCCAGCGGCAGTACTTGTTGATGCGCCCCCCATCTTCATCGTCACTCGTTCTTGCTTGTCATCTCCTGGGTCGGACTAGCCAGGTGATATTTGGAGGAAAGTGTTGGTGTGTAGCCTGTGTTGGAAAGTCAATAAGAAGATATACAGAATATCTATATATATATTATATACACCCAAAGTGACCATTGACCATTGTAATTTTTTCCAACTTTGCAAAGAGACACAGCACGTGAGGTGCGTCGAGACAATGAGTGACTTTTTCCTCAGAATGCTCAGGTGATGGAGAACTTGTTCTGCTTGTTTTTCACGACTGAGCTCTTGATCCGTTTTGTTGCTTTTGCCGCTCGGCTGAGCAGCTGAACAAAGAGCCGCTGCAATGCATGGCGTTTGATCAGTTGACATTGGCCGGGCCAAAAACCTTTACAGCAAACCTGATTCCCCTTCCACACTTTGCTTTAAGGCAACAGGGCAACAGCCACTGGGGCAAAGCCTCTTCGGTTACTGGGGCAAAGGTTCTTCTCGCCCCAAAAGCAGGTCGAACTTTGTGAAGAGTCAGTAGGGAAGGCCTTACACTTCGGCAAGCTTTGGCCTCAGGACAGGAAGCGCGACTGCTGCAGAGATTTTTGGTTTGTTTTTGATTGCGTGATCAACATCTACATGATTGGTGAAACGTGGCTCGGAGTGACGAAGCGCAGAGTACAGTTGAAGGCATGTTCGGATTTGTTCGAACTTGTTAGATGTCAAGTCCCGGGTGAGTTGCTTCAACCAAGCCACGAACATCTCCCGTTCTGTTTCTTTTCGGCTTGATCGCATGGGTCAAAGCGGTGTATTTGATGATGTTAAGCAAGCACGGTGCTGCATTGCCCAGACATGCACAGTGACCTTTTTGAGCCGCGGTCAGGTGGATCCTGTCGCTGATACTTCTACTCAGTGACATGACCACAACTGAGGCCGGATGTGGGAGATGTAAGGATGTCTCAGGTTCCGTGCAAGTCTCCCAAGCGATTTGGATGCCTTTGCTGATGATAGTACCAAAGGTACCAAAGCCTTGAGACATCTCCCAATTCATTTAGAATGTCAGAGTCTGCTAGAAATGCAAACTTGTAATTTAGGGTGTTCCTCCTCTGCCACGTTCAGAGGTGCAGCACGCCAGTTTGGCAATTAAACAAGACACGCACACACACACACACATGCTCGCATCCGCGTGTTCTCATCAACGCCTTGACCAAGGCGTTGTTTGATGCCTCAGCTCTTCGCATCATTCGCAGCTCGGAGTGCCACTGGAGAACCAGGGCGGTGCGAGGTTCACGTTCATTGGCGCCTCCTGGGTTTTGCGTCAACCACACCAGTCCGCTTGAACCACCGTGCGCCTGCTTGATGACAACAATGGGTGACTCCAACATGACCAGAGACATGAGCAGAGACCGAAAGCCAAAGCACACACACAATTACTACGGTCTTGGGAAGGAATCCCCCTTCGCAAGCATCATACATGGATGTAGATGGTCTTTTTTAATCGTAGGAACCTGACCAGATGTATCAACTACAGTACCTGGTGGTTCACATGCCCACCTTTGAACCCTCAACCTTTGAAAACGAGAGGGGCGCAGAGACTTGCCAAGGAATGGTGAAGATTCTACGTTTGTCGCGTATGGCGAAACTGTTGAGAGCAATCCCGGAGCTGAGCATAGCCGCTTGGCATCCTTTGGTTCGATTTTCTGTCCGGACATGGCGCTTGTGCGAGCACACGAAGCAATTCCAGCATCCGAAGCATACATGTGGTACAACATGAAGACATAATGTGGATTGTGTGGAAGCTGACAAAATGTAGTTTTTTCCATGCCAAAATTGTGGCCAGAATCCACGCCCAGTTTTCTCGACCACCCAAATTGCGGGCTAAGGCTTTGGCCCATCATGGGGTTCCCTCGCATCAAAGTGGTAAAGCAAAACCACTTCTATCATTCTCATGTTGTTCGCGCATTTGTGCAGGTGATCAAAGCAATCGGAGCAGCAGGACGTTCCATGTTGGACCCTCGACGCATTTGGGTGGCATCGATCTGTGTGGGGTGCCTGGCGCAGGGCAAGCTTGGTGCGGCACAGATGCCTTTGAACTAGAAACACAGCAAGAATCTTAAAGCATAGTGTCAGCCATTGAGAGAGATCATCAACGCATGAATTATATAGTTAGACTATCCTAGGCTAAGGCCTTCGCCCTCCTGTCAAAGTTGGTTGATGTGTGTCCCGGCTCCACTGAGGTGATTGCAGTGTTTTGCTTGATGGTGGTTTATGTCTTTGCTTTGACCTTAAAGCAGATCACGCTGATTGTGCCTTGGTGACGTTAGATGCACTGAGAAGATGTCAACGTCTTCTATCTTGAGATGATAGGAGTTGTAAAGTTTCACTGTGAATTTATCAGCTGTGATGATGGGTCGCCAACTGCAGCTCCTCTTGGAGCCCCCCAAACTGACTTTCAGCCTCAAAGACCTTGTTCAACAGCGAGAATCACCAGCCTTGAGGTGAATACTGATCCCACCGACCCCAGCATCGCTGCTGATTTCAACTCTGTGCTCTCGGCTATGAAGCTTGGAGGGGAATGGACTGAAGTTCAAGACACATATGAGTTGGCAATTCCGAGCTCTATTTCATACATCCACACAGCTCAAGGTGCTTGTTTGTATCGAACGAAACCAACTCCATAGGCTGGCTATGCATGGACAGTGGGCCCAACATCGTTTGTCAGCATTTTCCAGATTCAGTCGCTTTCTAACTGTGCTCACATTTGAATGGCACCTTGCAAAGACAGGAGGCCGTGCACAGGGCCACCTGACCCACGTGCCTGAACTAGTCAACAACTTTGCTTGCTCTTTTGTTTCCTCAAGCAAATGTTGACACTTACCTGCCAGTCTCCCTTCACGTCCACAAATCAGTCTTGCATTGGTCACTGTTTTGGCACTAAGGAACGCACTTCTGCTGAGGAGCTTGTTTTCAGACAGCGCAACATTGCTTAATGGAAGGAATGACATTGAAAAGAAACCATAAGCGCATGTGCTTGGGAGCTGACCATTTGGTTGTTTGTGACAAAGCACGACCCAACTTAACCCCAATCAGCAAGCAAAGAATATTGGCAGGAGATGGCAGGAGCTTGTTTTGCCTCAGTTTCAGTTTATGTTATCATCAGCTGAGGCCGACCTGGTGAACGGCCTATCTAACTGGCATCCTGTCCCCTAGCATTGGGGATTGGCAAGATTTGGATGTTCTTGATTGGATGATAACATAATTTGCCCAGCGTACTTGCTGTTGTTTTTTGTTTGTTTTGGCATGCAAGCTTGCTCTTCCTTTGCAATCAATACTGCAGGTGATGCAGTTAGTGCAACAGCATCCCTGAAACCATAGCAGACTATGCCCAGCAATCGTTTTTGCTTCGATTTAGCAAGTTTGATGCAGTTTTTTGTGGTTGCGATTCCCACTACAATGCACTACAGCAGTACAAGGTGTTCTGGCCTTGTATCATGCTCTTTGTGCTGATGACCTCCGCCATTTGTCGGCAGATGAGAACAGGGAAGAGACCAGGTTTGATGCGTGCTTTGCTTTGGACAAAGTTTGTACCCAACTCATGATGGTTTTAATCCATGGATGTGACAATGCAGCCTTTGGACAGATCGATATCACAAAGCAGTTGAGATGATCCCTATCAATTACGACTGTTTGATTTGGAGCAACGTTCCTCCTAGTTCTAAAGGATGGCGCTTCGATGCATTTTCACGGACATCCGAAGACTTTTCCGTTTTGGCGTTTTCGCGGAGCCTCAGGTCACCATGATGTACATGCTCATGGGTGTCATGGTGACATGGCAGAAAACGTGTGTGAGCGTAGTTTCAATCAGGAACAGTTGCATTTCGATAGGACAGTTCTTCTACAAGTTTACCCGAGTCTTGAGCCAAGTAGTCTGGCCAGTCTGGAGAGGTTAAATACCCTCTGTTGAGATTTGGTACGCCGTGTTACACGGTGTGTTCAAGATCAGCAAGAAGGCTGCCTCTCCGACCCTTCCGACCATTCCCTCTCTCCACAAGAAATGAGGTCAACGTCATCGACATCGTGGCGGCCTCGGAGCGCGAGGGCCTGGCAGTCTCCACGGTAGCCTCATCCCTCCGGCAGGCCGAGATGGAGACCGAGGGTAAGGGTCTGGGAACTAGGCATAAGCAATGTGACCGATCATGTCTACCATCCACAATCCCACAGACTTCATTAGTGTCGTGGCTGTTTCGGCCAGTGGCACGACACTTTCAGAGTTGTCCTTTGTAGATGCGCTGAGTGCTGTAGATGCGTCCACCAAGTTACAGCTGGTGGAGAACATCCGTTGAGCACCATTAGCGTTCGTTGTTGCAAAGCTGCTACAAAAGGGTACCTACATAGAGAAAAATCCATGCATAAGGACACAATCTAGTGCTACTGACACGTACTTTTGTCCCGAACACCTTCAGCCCATTTCAGCTCAATGCCTGAACAGTATACATATACATATATATATATATATATATGCAAGAAGTACACCACTTCTTCAGGTACACTCATCGAACATAGATTCGTGAGCTTTTGGGATCGAGGGAAAGGTCGCTCGTGTTTGTCAGTCGCTCGTGCCACTGCCGTCGAAGAGCCATCGCCTCTCACCACTTTGTGCTTGAGAACTCCGGCTACCGTGCATGGTAGCGGAGCCTGCGGGCTCCGCCGCCTGATCGATCCAGGGCATTTGTTTTGTCTGCAACCGCATAGGGCCGCTGCAGAATCATGGTGGACCGGGGTTTGTTGCAAGTGGAACGCACCAAAGAAGGTGTTCCTATTTGGGATGGCAATGCTGCCACCTTTCAGGAGTATTCAGAGCTGGCACAACACTGGGAGCAGAGTGTGGCACATCACAAAAGATATTTATGTGGACCTCGCCTTCAATCAGAGTTGACAGGCACAGCACGTCGATTTGTGATGTCCATGAAGCCCGGCTGGATTTCCTACGCAGGAGGCGTGCAACGTCTCTTAGATCATCTGAGAAAGCATTTGGGGCAACCTCAGCTGACCGAGATGTCGGAGTACTTGGGGAAGTACTTCAAGCAATCACGCCGCAAGCGACATGAGTCTATGAATGACTACATCACACGAAAGGGGGAGATCTATGCTCGAGCATGCCAAACACTGCACCGTGTGTCAGGCCGCTATGCACGTGAGGTTGGCCCAAGAACCGGAGGTGCCACCTCACAACACACCTGGAATGGTTGGCAACAGCTACATGGAGGCCATTCTGACCATACCGCTGGAATGTCCGGGGGGTCACTGCCACCGGAGAATGAGGAGGAAGAGGAGCAGTCCTTTCATGACGCTGCAGAATCATGGGAGCACTATGATTCATGGGGAGCGCCTGATTGGAATAGTGGTTCCTGGGGAAATCCTCATTCCAACAGTTGGAGTGACTCTGCATGGACGAGGCCATGGAACACCAGCGGGCAGGAGCCTGCGTGGGAGAAGGAGATCACGGAGTTGATCCCCACCTATGTCCAAGGGTGGTTTTTATTGCAAGACGCAGGTCTTGATGCTCAGGAGAAGAACTTGATCCTCACCGCATTGAAAGATGATTTCTCAGTTGAGCGGGTCGCGCAAGAACTACGCAATCAGTGGCCTGATCAAGACCTGAAGCACAAGGACCAGTCTGGCAAGAGCACCGCTTGGACCGTGGACGAATGTGATGAGCTTGAAGAAGCTTCTTGTGTGGACCGCCAGGGCCCAGACCTGTCCTGCCTCGTGAACTCAGGCCTCAACGATGAAGGCCTGTCAATTATGGAAGAAGCTGAACAGGATGCCAATGAGGCCCTCGCCATGATGGACCATGGACGCAAAACACTGCGTGAAGCTAGGGCCAAACAGCATCAGGTCAAGATGAGCCGCCAGTACTACAAGACTGATCGAATCAGTGTGAAGCCATCTTTTTCCAATCGACCTGCTGCCTCGTTAGCTTCCATCAAGTGTTTGAATTGTGGTGTGCTGGGCCACAAAGTGGCACAGTGCCCAAAACGTGCACTCAATCAGACGGCCAGTGTCCGTGAAGCCCAGACCGCCGAGAGCGCACCATTTGTTTGCAGTGCGACGGATTTGGACTCCGCCCATGTCGCATCCGGCGGTTTGACCACCCAAGAAGCCGTGTCCAAAGGTATGGCCATTTTAGACGGTGGCGCCACTCGCACCTTAGGATCTGTCTCAGCGGTTGAGAAGCTCATGGAACTCAACCAAACAAAGACTGGCCATGATGGTGTGACCCGAATTGACCACACCATGAGGCCAACGTTTGGATTTGGGAATTCGTCCAGCGACAAGTGTATGTCGACAGCGTGGCTGAGCGTACAGGCCGGTGGCCGCGGAGGTGAGCTAAAGGTTCACACTTTAGACCGCGGCCATAGTCCTATTTTGTTTTCCATTGAAACTTTGAGATCCCTGGGAGCGCTCATTGACTTCGAACACGATCTTCTTGTTTTCAGGAAGCTTGATCCGACCCGTGTGATCAGCTTGGAGCGCTCCTGTACGGGTCATCAACTGCTGCCTCTGAGTGATGATTGGTTCTCGCATGCCAAAACGGCAAAGAACCCAGTCCCTAGCCTAGAGCACTACATCTAGGGACAACTCCTCCCTGACTCCATGTCCGCAGAGGAAAGGGAGGGGCTTAGCAGCGTGGCGGACCCAGAGGCAGACCTGATCTCAGACCAACCCACCAATGATGTGATCATGAGAGAGAGTGTTTTTGAACCTGTTTTTAGTGTTCCGGTTTTTGAGAGTAATGAACACAAACCTCGAATCGAGACTCGACACATCGGTGAACAACAAACATCGACCACCAGCAGCATCACTTGTCCAGCTCAAGCATCTTGTGCACCACCAGAGCCTTCCACACATCATCATCATGTCCTCTCCGATGACCAAGACCGAGATCATCGAGGAGCTGGCAAGACTGGGGGGAGTTGCCTCCCAAGTCTTGGAGCCGCACCGAGTGCCTAGTTCGAATGGAGGAGCTTCGCGAGGCCCAAGGGCTGACATCCAATCCCAAGTCCAAGACCAAGACTCCTCTTCAGCTCAAGATGACCCAGTTGAACGCCGCGTCTCGCAAGAAGAGCGATTTGATCAGTTTCTGTCACGAGCTGCAAATCCCCATGAGCGGTCACGAGACCATCCCAATCTTGCAGAAGAAGAAGGCTACTCAGGTCCTGTTGGATCAATGCGAGGCCACGGGAGCAGACCCAGTGGGCTTCGGAGTTCATGCAGCCCTCTCCTATCAGGAAGTGAAGATCTCAGAGCCCAACTATGCCAATTGGGTGATCACCACCTTCCAAGAGGAGAGGAACACGTGTCCCAGGTTGGCACGCCTGGCCCAGTGGCTCATTCAGGAGCAACGCCACTCCCAGAAGCCAGAGATCACAGAGCTCCAAAGTCAGCCTCCGATCCCTCGAGAAGTTTTGATCGAGAAGGGCTACATCAAGACCCCCAAGGGAGCAAAGGCCGCAGCTTCGATGACCTCGAAGCAATCCGGGGCCGCCTCCAGCAACATGACTGGCGTGACCTCACATGTTCTGAAGAACCTGACCGAAGCGGTGATCGAGCTGAAGGAACAAGTTCAGAGCCTGAAGACAGGCCAAGAACCTCCTCGCAAGAAGACCAGCCAGGCAAGCGAGCAGAGCTTCGAGATGATCCTGGAGAATCAGTGAGAGCAGGGACCATAGGTGCTAGCTTTGAGACACCATCCACCACAGTGCCCCCAGAGACTGAAGGCGGAGACCTTAGCTCACGGCTCAAAACCTTAGAACCTCAGGAAACGAAACACCTGAAAAACAAACGTGATGACATGATTTCACATGTGGTTCGTGAATTGGGAGCCAATGAGCAAGTCTTATTACTGGAAGTTGCATGTGGAGTGGATAGCATTCTCACAAGTACCATGCAGGAGCTTACCAAGTCCGTTAGTTCTGCCCAGAGGTTGTCTATTTGGAATGACTATGACATCTCTACTGGTAGAGGCGTAAAAGGTGTCCTTGATAAGATAGATCTTTGTGCGCCCGAACTTGTGTGGCTCTCTCCCGAATGTGGTCCGTACAGTGTGATGCAAAACATCAACCAACGCACTGCTGAGCAACGCTCGGACTTGGAAAATAAGCGGAAGCAAGCTCTGAAACAATACATGGGGTGTGCCATCATATACCAGTACTGTGTGCAACGTGGTACACATGTGGTCTGGGAATTGTCCCAGTCATGTCAGGCATGGCGTCTTCCTGTGTTGCAGAACCTCATCAAACGCTATGACCCGTACTTCGCTATTGTCAGAGGCTGTCAGGTGAATTTACGAAACCCACAAAAACATTTCATATCCAAGGGATGGAAGCTGATGACCACACATGAACCTTTGTCCATACGTATGCATCTCCCTTGTCATTGTGCACCTGGCACCTACCATGCCCCATGTGAAGGTAGCGTAGCGAGATCCACGGCATATTACACACGTGAGTTCGCACTTCGAGCGTGTCGGGAGATTTTGCGGGGTGGGAACCGGGAGCAATGGTTGAAGGAGTTGAAAGGAAAACCCACGGGTGGTGAGGTTTTTGGATTAGGAACGGTGTGTGTTTGTGAACACGTGAAACAACATGGTTCCCTGACGAATTGTGGCCATTGCACGCAAACGCTCCAGCAAGAAGTTTTGACTGTGGACAAACGGGACCAAGTTTTGAGACAACCTTTGAGTGAAGAGGACATCAAACGTAGATTGTATTTGTTGCATTCTGCTACCGGTCATGGTTCCATCCCTAGCATGGTCCAAGCTTTGAAACGAAAAGGTGTTGCGAAACAAGTGTTGGACCTTGCGCAATCGTTTCGATGCCCCGTTTGTGAAGAGAGATCGAAGCCTCAACCTCGCAATCTGGCTTCTCTTGAACCACTTCCCCCAAAATTCATGACTGTTGCGGCGGATGTGGGCCACTGGTACCATCCCGCCACCAAAGAAAAATGGCAGTTCATCTTGATGGTGGACGAGGGTTCACGATTTAGGGTCGGACGCATGATCCTTCAAGGTAAACAGAGGCACATCAGTGCTGGACAGTTTGTGCAAATTTTCCAGGAGGCCTGGGTCTCCTATTTCGGACACCCCCAGACTTTGAGATTGGACCCCGATGGAGCTTTCCGCAGCCATGAACTGGCAAGTTACTGCGATAGACACCAGATCTATCTTGACCTCATTCCCGGTGAAGCACACTGGAAATTGTCCGTGTGCGAACGCAGTATCCAAGCCATAAAACATGTCATGGCAAGTCTTGCAGCCGAATCACCTGCACTGACGGCGGAACAGATCCTTGCAGAATCTGTTCGAACTCTGAACCACAGAGAAAACGTGCGTGGTTTCACACCTGTCCAATACGTCCTGGGTCGAGCACCAGATGAACATGGACGCTTTTTCAACCCAGCACGTGATTTGGAAACTCCAGGAGTTACCGATGGCCACAGAGACCATGGAGCGAGATCAACGCCTGCGATTGTCAGCCGAAAAAGCTTTTTTGGATTGGGTGGCAACAGAAAGGATTCAAAGGGCCACCCACTCGAAACATCGAAGAGTGCTGGATTTTTCAGCAGGAGATCTTGTTTTCATTTGGCGCAAGCAGCTGACAGGTGAGGATGCCCAACAAAACAAGACTGGCCAAGGCCGTTTCGTTGGTCCAGCTCGTGTCCTCGCAGTGGAGCAATCTCGAGATGACCAAGGACACCTTCGACCTGGCAGTTCAGTCTGGTTGGTTCGTGGTAGACGTCTTCTAAAGTGTTGCCCAGAACAACTAAGACATGCTTCAGAACGAGAAGTGATCCTTACGGAGCTTCATGACTCAAGGGAGATTCCCACCTGGGATTTTCCCATAGTGGCTGAAGAACTGGGCAACAATGACTATGAGGATGTTCAAGAACAACCTACTGAAGCTGAATGGAGGAGAGCAGGAAATCCTCTCCATGAGTGGCAGCCTTCTTGTCGCATGTCAGGCAAGCAGCAACCTTCAGAGCCAGTGGCAGGAAGTCAGAAGAAATTGCGACTGGCGCCTCCAGCACCAGTGTCAGCAAGTCGTCCACGAAGTCGAAGTCCTCCATGGAGACCGGTGGCCTCAGGACCTTCATCCGGCTCAGGTCTACATCGACCTTCGGAACCAGCAGACACAGGTTTTCAAGCTGCACCTCATTGGACCGAGCTGGTTCATGTCGTATTTTTCAGAAGCTGCAAACACCAAAGGTGCACAAGACATGGTGCACCACGTTGAGATCGAAATGCCTTCTAGCAAGGCCAGTACAGAACGTGCTCTCAAGGATTTGAATGCCTTTTTCGTGGGAGCACTGGAGCGAAGAGCAGTGGAAATTTCTGAACGACGAATGACACCAGAAGAGAGAAAGCAATTTGATTTGGCAAAGAGCATTGAAGTAACCAACTTCCTAGCAGCCAAGGCTTTTGAGGCTCTACCTGCCAACCATCGCTTTCGTCGAGAGGATGCAGTGAACATGCGCTGGATTCTTACATGGAAAGTCAAAGATGATGGCACCAAGAAGGCAAAAGCGAGAGCAGTCTTGCAAGGGTTCCAGGACCCCAAATATGAAGAGCGCGCAACCCACTCGCCAACGACTACTCGCCAAACCAGACAGATGCAACTACAAATAGCAGCTTCCATGGGCTTTAGCACGAAAAAGGGTGACGTGACTGGAGCTTTTTTACAGTCCAGGCCATATCCAGATGACCTTCTGTGCATCCCATGTGCAGAAATATGCACAGCTATGGGATTAGCTCCAGGTTCCCTCACAAAAGTTCGGAAGGCCTGTTATGGTTTGGTCGATGCGCCACTGGAATGGTATCGCAGCATTAGCACATTCTTCAGCAAGTTGGGCTTACGCCGATGTTGGAGTGACCCATGCTGTTGGACCTTAGTTCAAGGTGGCAAACTGCGAGGGATCATTTCTGGTCATGTAGATGATTTCTTGTTTTCTGGAAGCCCTACGGATGAAGTCTGGTTGGCCATTGAAAAGGCCATCAAAGAGGAGTTCCGCTGGAGTGATTGGGAAGAGGGCCGTTTTGCTCAGTGTGGAGTTTTGATAGAGCAAGAACAAGATGGTTCATACTCACTGTCACAAAAGCACTATGTGGAATCCATTCCCGCCATCAACATCCGAGCTTCAAGAAAAAGAGAAAGAAATGCTGCGACAGATGACCTGGAAAAGACACAACTCCGAGGTCTATTGGGTGGCATCAGCTGGTTTAGCCAACAGGTGGCACCCCACTTCGCAGCAGATGTGGGCTTGCTTTTGTCCGAGGTCAACCACAGCACGGTGGACACTTTGTTCCGAGCCAATCGACTTCTTGACCAGGTGAGAAACATGAAGGAACAGAAATTGAAAATACACAAGATTGATTTGAACAACGTAGTACTCGTTGCTTGGGTGGATGCGGCTAATCAGAATAGGATTAGCGGTGGCAGCGCCCAAGGTGTCGTCATCAGTGCAGCCCCCAAGAGCCTGATGTCAGGTCAATGTGTTCCCGTTACCTTGCTTTCCTGGCAATCTTCCAAGATCGCTAGAGTATGTTCCAGTCCAGGAGCAAGTGAAGCTATGGCCGCCGTTCATGGCGAAGATCTACTTTATTTTTGCAGATTTCAACTTGGAGAAATGTTGGGATTTCCTTTGAAAATTCAGGACCCCAACCCGCTGGTGAATAGGATCCCAGGCTGTCTAGTGACTGACAGCCGGAACGTCTTTGACAAACTCAGAACCGAAGTCTTGAGCCCAAAAGGAGCAGAACGTCGGGTGGATATCACACTTATGCGCATTAAAGATGCACAAAACACAAATGAACTTAAAGTAAGGTGGGTGCATAGTGAAGCACAACTTGCAAATGGCTTGACTAAGGGCAAGGAGCTAAGGCAACTTTCGTTGTTCTACGATATGGATCAGTGCTGGAGAATCGTGGAAGACCCTACAATGTCTTCAGCGAGAAGACGGAAAGCCCAGGGCCAGACCCCTTTGGAGAATACATCCACGTCCAGCAGCAGCACACAACACATACAGAGCGACAACAAGTAGAGGTTTGCGTTTCCGGTTTTGGTTGGTGGTTTTCGTGTGTTTCTCAATACGGTTGTATGAGATCAGGTGGCATGCAAGAAGTACACCACTTCTTCAGGTACACTCATCGAACATAGATTCGTGAGCTTTTGGGATCGAGGGAAAGGTCGCTCGTGTTTGTCAGTCGCTCGTGCCACTGCCGTCGAAGAGCCATCGCCTCTCACCACTTTGTGCTTGAGAACTCCGGCTACCGTGCATATATATATATACATAGATTGTATACTGGCCGTCTGAGTGAATTTGTCTACTTGCGAACAAAATTACAGTAAATTGAACTTAAAGAATCTCGAGGGCAGAGTGGTAAGTGTAGCGGCATCACTTGCATCAGCAAGGTCAATAAATTCCAAGAGTCTCATGAACGGACGGCTCCGGCTGAATAATGCATGGCCACTTAGGCTTCGCTCAACTTTGGATACCCTCTCCTCTTCACCTGCGGATGTTTTGCATCTGTTCACCTGGCGTCCCAGCGGCTCTTGGCACCCAAATTCTGGCCTCCGCCCCATATAGTGTGTTGCACCATTCCATCCGTGCCTTGAAGACTCGTAGGCAAGCTGTCTTGGCACTCGACGTGGTTTGAGGCTGCACTGTCATTGTAGCGGACATCCTTCTCTCCGATTACAACCGTACCTTGCTTTTCCATTTTTCATGCCCCTTTCCAACATACTTCACCTTACGCTTTTCTGTGCTTGCTTGATTTTACCGCACGCCGATTGACACACCTCTGGCATTGCCTGGCCGCTATCCGCTCTGGCCGCCAACTGACTTTGTCGCCTTGGACAAAGACAACAAGGTCCAAGTGCAACTTCATTTACCGTTGCCAGCTTCCCGCTACGAACGTTTTTGTCCTCGCTGCCTACCAACTCGAAGGCAAAACACTGCCTAGCCTCATCATCTAGACTTAGCGCCTTTTCAGATTAAACTTGATCCTTGGTAATCCTTATCCTTTTGCAGACACTATCCTTTCTGCTCGGACGGGTATTTCATCGCTTGCTGGGTTCTTCTCAGTCCAGTCGAGTGCGTAGTTTCGACGACCTTCTTCTCTTACATCTCTTAGGCTTCCTGACCTCGTCGCTCTCGATTCAAGCTCGGCTCAACCTGATTTTCTGCAAGCTGCGCATTCTGACTTCGCATTGCGGCGCTTGATTTCCATCCCGACCGCCAACCGCTTTCACACACAGCCTTCGAGCCCTCGTGACCGCCCCTTTGCTTGCTGCTGTTCCTCTGCTTTTGTTCCTAGTAGCGTCCTTGCTCCGTTCGTAGCGATGCCCTTTGTTCCTAGTAGCGGCTTAGTAGCGTCCTTGCTCCTAGTTTGCCGTTTTGCCTTCCTTGCTTTCCGTTTGCATCCTTTCCCTCAATCCTCTCTACCCCACACCGCGAGCTTGGCGCCCGCTTGCTTTAACATGTGTCTGCTCACTGCTCTTTCCTTTGTACAACCCTGGCCCTGGCTTTCTCAGGTTGTATATGTGCGCTCAAACACTGAAATTGAAGGACACTCAAAACAACTCCCTGCGTGGGATCTGGACAGGTCATGAAGAAGCTGGGCATTTCTACTGAGTCTTGGTCCTGCACGGACATGCCCGGAAACTGAGAGAACACGTGAGCCGATCGTAGACATTCCATGACTGACAGACCATTGCCTTTAAAAGTGGATGTTGTCAAGTTCCATGTTAGTTTGGTAGCCTCACTTGACATCAGCATCCGCACTAAAACCGTAATTTTGTTCTTGTTCTTGGAAAGGACAACTCCAAAAGAAGAACGCCGTATTTTTGACCATTTTGTTTGTGGCATTGAATCGCTCAACTCGGTCTGACTCGGTCTGACCTGCTGAGGATGGTCCGGTCTCCAAGGAAGCTGTGAACGACCTTCTGAATGAGGCCGACGTGGTCCACTTCTTGCGCCCTCGGCCGCATCACGCGCGCGCATCGGATCCGTTCCCAGAGCACCGACGAGACCATTGCGGCTGAGCCGCTCTGGCTGAGCCATTGAGCTACTGAGCCACGCTGAGGTACAGCATGGATGTTGACGTGCTCTCCTTGGTGGACTCTGGGGCATGAACTTATATATATCGACAGCAGACATTAGCCATTGTTGATTCACGCTGTTGATGGCTGACATTGTCCAAGACATACAACGGCATACAAATTTATCAAGTTCATTTGTAGAAAAGCACCAGGGTCAGCCACGGCCTGATTAAAGGGCTTCTCATTTTGGATTTAATGAACGCTCACATTCATTTTCCTGAAACTGCGGAGTGTCACCATTTCTGGCACAAATGGTCTATGCCAAACAATCCACTGTGCCGTAGAAGAACTGCTGGTTTGGAATTTGGTCTGGAGTCAGAGTGCGATGTTGGAAGATATCAAACTTTAGAACATGGCAGATGGTAGTGGTTGAAGCTTTTGACGAGAAACAATGGTTTGAACTTCCTTTTGCTTCTAACAAGTCAGTAAGGATTCCCTAGCAGACTAGGCCGCTTATATATGCACGACCTAGAAGCCTGGCTTGGTTCCTACCATTCTCTGTTGTGACTGCGATTAGAAAAGAGCGGAGGACGCGAGGTTCTGGGGTTTCCACTCGTCGCGCTATCAACCTGTCCCAGCTAAGGAGATGATCGATCAAGTCTTTGAAGATGTTTTGGAGCGAGAGGGACGGCCACTGGAGTTTGGAGACCTGGCCACATGGCAGCGGTAAAGCGCTTTTTTGCACTGCTCCTGCCTGAAGTTTGTGGATCTTGCATGGTAAAAGACCGGATATACATACATATATATATATATATTATATAAGTAATACATGAGCTGGAACTAGATCACATGACATGGAGCCACCAGATTTGAGTCCCCAGTTGTCACCCTTGTGTATCTTCCAATGGTGGACATACAGAAGTTGTTGGAGTTTCTTTTGGCGACCTGGGAGGTGGAGACGATCATGAACATGCGAGGGAGCAACCCTGCCACTGTTCAAGACCTCAAAGCCTCCATCCGAGCCTTGAAGATGGGCTGGAAAGCAGAGATGTGCCACGGCAGAGAACTGTGCCGAAACACGGGTGGGGTCCAATTGATGATGTGCTTTTGAGTTAAGTAAGCCCAGTGGGGCCTGGAAGGGATGTGAATTGGGGGTGGTCCATCTGATTTCTACAGGTCTTCCACTCTAATTAGTGTGGATCCGGAGCCATGGCAAACACAGACCAACTTGTGCCGAATGGCAGCTCTGGATGGTCTTGGACCCTGCGCACAAGCCTCGTTAAACGCCTGCATTTCCACTCCTTTGTAAATGAAGGAGTTTGGTACTTCATTGTACTTCTTCCACGCCAATCTCCCGCCAACCTCTCAAGAATGGCCTCCACTGTTGCTAGTTTCTCATCCCAAGCCATGCCCCATGCTTCACGGCTCGTTGGACTGTTGAGGAACGCCCTCCGTGCAAGTCTTCATGGGCAGCTTCATTCGACGCTTGTTCAACTTTAGAGTGTTAACCAAGAGAGATGTGCGTTTCGCCTTGGTTCTGCCATATCCTTGTTTGATCTCACGAATCTCACTTGCCGATTCGAGAAGAACATTATAGATCATCTACATGACTTCAACTCTGTCCTGTCGCTTATTTGATTTGTTGTTCTTCTTGGGATGCAGGATGCTGAGCTTTTTTGGCCAGAATAGGTCCTGTGCTGCTGGAGTTTGCTTTGTGGAAGCACGCTATGTGAATGTTGGCAGGGACTTCAACGTTTCTTCTTTTGTTTGGATGCACAACATGTTTGTATTCACAAGTTCTGTTCTCCTTGGCAACACACACATGCCAGCTCAGGATCACTATGCAACTTTATGATGACAACAATGAAAAGAACAGTTCGGAAGAATATGAATGAGCTCATGTGGGGGGCTTTTGGAATGATCGACGCTCCTGAGTCCTGAGCATCCCGGCAATCGGCACCAAGACTTTGAGGCGATGAAATACTCGTTGCCTTAGAAGACTCGTCCGATGGATTGGAATACATCACATCTGGCTGCCTCGAAGGGGCCTTCAGCCGGACATGTGTTTCCTGCAGCTGAAGAAAGCCTTCAGGAATTGTTTCTCTCCGTCCTCTTTCTCACCACATGACGATTATGTGAAGCGGGCTGTCACAGGGTTGTCTTTGGAGGGTTCTCTGAAGGCCTGTTTGCTTTACCAGGGTGATGATCATGGTTCATGAAATATGGTTCACGAAATAAGCAATAGAGATCAATACGATAAATCAATGGTTGTTGTAGTGGTGGTGGTGGTGGTGGTGATGGTTGTTGTTGTTGTTGTTGCTGTTGCTGTTGTTGAAAGTGAGCTGTACAAAACTGCCCATGTAATTGGCTGCATCAACGGTGACACAACTTTCTTGGAGCTGCTCAAAGCGTTTGCAATGGTCTTGAATTGTCAGTTGCAGAAAGCGACAACGTGTGCTGCTTCAATTGACTGGCAGCTTTGTTCTCACAATGACAGGTAGCTTTGTTCTCACTGAGGTTGTAAATGATGTTGGACACACATAAACGTTGAAAGGCGCACCCGCTCATTCCATTCTGATTTTTGTTAACAACGAGGTTGCAGACCTTGATGTGCATGTAGTGCACATGGGGCGGTTTGTTATCGGGGCCCTAATTCACACACGAGTAAACGTATATATATATATAAATACAATATACATATAATTACACGCATATATATATATATATGCTATCCCCTGGAAATGACATTTCTTGCCTGTTTTGTGAGCATTAAACTGTTTTCTGGACATGTTAAGAGTCTCCAATCGTGAATCTTGGATCAGGCACTACTTGGAATAGATTTTGCCACAGGAACTGTTTGCAATGGCTGACCTGCCCCCAAACATGCAACAATGTCACTGAAAATTATGGAGAACGTTGCCACATTCCACACTTGAAAAAGCCATCAAGGGAATGACATGTATGGCAATGAGCCCAGAATAAAGACGATGACCAGAGATAAAGTTCTGAAAGTCATTGGTAAAACTGATGAATAATTCAAAACATCGGGAGCATCAAGTACACCGACACAAAAGTGGCGCAACTCCGGGCAGAAAGCAGCGAGGCTATACATTAGTAGCCATTGTTCAATGCTGGATTGTCTTTTTGTCAGATACTGTTAGGGTATAGTATTGGGTGGCTGTTTCTTTGCAACTTGAATAACATCATAGTATTTGCAATCCTTAATCTTAACGTGTCCGTATTGAAACCTCTTTAGAAGTCATATTGTCCTGCATCACCCCCCACCTCATTATTTAGTGCCCCCCTTTTTCTTCTAATTCTATGTATATAATCATTGGTCATTTCCACTAGTTCCTCAGAATCATAAAAGGAACTCACCTTGTTGATCCTGCCTCTCATCAGATTTGATATGTGCTGCCTCACTCAAACTTTCAATTCCAACATCCCTATATTGTTACTAACAAGCATTTTTGTGACTTTGTATCTTCACGCTGTTTGTCTGAAAGTTTGGTGTTGAACAGGTTTTTGTATATATCCTGTAAAATCAACATCATATCAGCAAATTCTTTTAAACACATACCATACATTAACAGATAGGGTTTATTAAAATAAACTACACATCATCACCAAGAACAAACATAATTCTCTTTGCTCATTTAAATGATGCTTATTATAGTTGGTATAGGCTCTTCATTCATCATCATACTCATTGAAGACTGGTATTTTTACTGCTTCCCCTCAAATTGCAAGTGTAAGCCTTGTTCTGGTCTATTTTCAAGGGTACCTCCCTGCTATAAAGACAGTTATGAAGTTTCCCAGCCGGTGGGATTGTTCTACAGTGGTTTTTGATTTCAATATCGATTCGTTATAATAGGATTTATGTAAAGGATGGCCAATTTGTTGGCTGAGAATGAGCATTGCTTTTGACATGTTCATATGTGTTCTTTTTGCCTCGACTGTTATACTGGCATCAGTTGAGTCTGTTAGATTTTGGATTCGCACCTTATATTTGACTTAACTTTTTCCGTTCTTCAGCTTGAACCTGACATTAAACTCTGAAATGATGCCTGAACACACCTTGATGTGAGGATTGTGTCCTGCCAGTTTGCTTTGATAATACAGTTTTGAAGGATCATTGCCTTAGTAAAACATGGTGTATTCATCCTTCTCAGTGTATTTCAGAAAGTCATGAATGCCTTCAATTCTAATGTGTAGTGTATTCCTTGTTCATACCAAGCTTTCTTTTTAGTGCCTTGATGTCGCTGTTTAGTTTGTAGGTGTGGTCATTCTTCGATTCATGCAAAACATGTTTATTTTTTTTTGATGGTTTTGTTTTGACGGCAGGAGTACATCAGATTACCCATACCATCAAAGATTCTGGCTGATACATTGATTCCCTGAACTCTTTATTCATATAATTACTACGATCTCTTATCCTTTAGGTGTGTTGAGCCATCTATTGGCAGAAAACCGGTTACACACATGAATTGAGCCGTGTATAGCCTCGCTACTTTCTGCCCGGAGTTGCGCCATCCATTTTTGTGTCGGTGTAATTGATGCTCCCGATGTTTTGAATTATTCATCAGTTTTACCAATGAGTTTCAGAACTTTATCTCTTGTCATCGTCTTTATTCCGGGCTCATTGCCATACATGTCATTCCCTTGATGGCTTTTTCAAGTGTGGAATGTGGCAACGTTCTCCATAATTTTCAGTGACATTGTTGCATGTTTGGGGGCAGGTCAGCCATTGCTGACAATAGCAAACGGTTCCTGTGGCAACATTTATTCCAAGTAGTACCTGGATCCAAGATTCAAGATCCACGATTCAAGTCTAAAGAGCGTTCTTGAAATTCTTGAATCCAAGAACTTGGACTAGGAGAGACTCTGGATTCAAGAGCTTCTTTTTAGATCTTGAATCTTGAATCTTGAATCTTAGACGCTGCTCTCGTTTGCAAACACTTGCACATGTTTTGGTGGATTCTTCTCTCACTTCTGAGTTTATCTTAAGTACGCTCTGTAGATGTGTATATATTTTTATATTATATACTGTATATATCCATATATGGTACCACCCAAAAGATAGATGGCAGCCAAAAGAGCCCACATTTGGTAGACATTTTTTTGGATGTACCATATATATATATATATATGTATAGGTCAAGAGCACATAGGACCTATCATCTCTGTGGAATGAACATGCATCTTCTTGGCCTGCGACAGAATAAGCACAGGTCTTGGTTTAAACAGCATACTCTAGCATCAGTTACTAGACCTGAGGCATATGTGTCTTTGCCTGGACCGCTAGTGCGCGCGTCTACCCAAGACAAGGACCCCTCACCTGGCCATGTTCTTTGCTGATTTTGTGATAGCTTCACAAGAAGAAGGATTGACACAGCTTCCACAAGCAAGCCCCACTGATTCTCAGATTTATCCAACACTTACATGTTCTGATATCTGAAATTTGTGTTGGCAAAGTGAGCCAGTGTGCCAGATGAAGCAGCATTCGACCACGTTCAAGGGACCCAGTTTGGGACCTGGAACCAAAGTTGCTCTCCGCCAAGACCTGTAGATTTGGCCGGGATGACCGACGAAAGAGAAAGGCTTCCCCCATGATGTGGAGAAGGAAGGCTCCGTAGGTCGTGTTCACTGTTCAGTTGGCGGTCCCTATGTCATCTCCATGAGTCACAGAGGTGGGCTTGTGATCCAATGGCAACAGGATAGGACCCAGACACCTGCAGACTAGTCCATTTACCATTGGTCTAAGCATAGCGAGTGTCATCCATTTTAGCAGGAATGTCTTGCGGTTGGAAAACCATCCCCTGGCGCAACTACTTTTGGACATTTTATCCTTTGAAGAACAATTTTCTCTGCAAAAAGGTAATTTTTCATCTTTCCAACTTAGATGTAATGTTGGAGGGAGAGTCCAAATGTACAATTGTATGATTCATTGACACTTGCAATGTGCTAATTGCTGAGTAGAATGGATAGCTATGGCAAGGGTCATTGACAAGATTTAGCTGGTGGAAACTCCCACAGGCAAGGGCGTAGCAGCACCATTCACCAAGTGAGGGGCACCGAAGTCGCCGTAGCAGCAGGTAGCAGTAGCAGCAG